CATTTAATTCTTTGAATTTTAGAAGCTTTCCTGTGCTGATTAGAAAACTAATGGGTAGCTTAAAATGAAACCAGAAAAATCTGGATATCTTCCATCTGACCTAAACATCTTCACCACACAACTCTTTTGAGAGACAGCTGAAGTTCTTAGGGTAAGTAGGAAGCATACAAAAAGGACAAGAAAAGTTAAGGCTAAATCAGAATGAAATCAGGAAAGAAATTCTACCCTTTAATTGAACTCTGTTCAACCCTGAAAATGCCTTTCAGTAACCTGAACTGGAGAGATTTTTTTGTTTGTTTGTTTGTTTTTTAGACATTCGGAAATCACAGTTTTATTCTTATTGTAAAAGGACTTCTGTGTGTTGCCTTCTAAAACCTCATCCAGGGACACGAATTTACAAGCCCAGTGCTGTAGAAACCCAGATCCTATAACAAAACTGCTTTCTCGAGGGGCTCCTCTCTGCGCACCCACCCACCAGGAGGACTTCAGCAGTGGCTCTGCTGGCTTCTACCCTTTCCAGAGGGGCCCTGTGCAAGCATGTGTGCTCATGTGTGTGCCTGTGTGTATGTGTGTGTGTGCGCACGCATGTGCATGCACTCATAGGCACTTTGACACTTAGCACCATGTGACCTTGGGACAATTACTGACCCTCTTATGATAGACAGAATAACAGCTCCCAAAGCGGCACATTCAAATCCACCAACCTGGGGAAATGCTACCGTCCTGGCTAGCAGCTGGGCCCACACATTTCTGCCCCTTCACACAGCGGCTCTGTCCCTGAGCAGAGTGGGGGGGGCCCGCAAGGGGCATTGGGGGGGCTACCTAGCACAGCCCAGTGAGTGGCTGTAAATGTGAGAAACAGCAAAACAGGCAGAGCCTGGGCTTGGTGGCACAGGCCTGGGCTTAAAGCTAGCACCAAAGGGGGCAGGAGCTGCACAGTGACCCTTAGCACACCATCCTGAACCCAGCACCCCAGGGGGCAGGAGCACATGACTGAAGGATGTAACACAGCTTCACGCAAGACAATGGAAGGAAAAAATTTCCAAATGCAACACAGCCCACATAAGGGAGGCTTTCTGTGGGTGTTCTCTACTTCAGAATAATGCAATATGAATATAATTTAATAACATAAAATCTCACATATCTGTAATCCCAGCACTAGGGAGGCTGAGGCAGGAGGATCACTGGGAGCTTGAGGCCAGCCTGGACTACAAAAGTGAACTCAGAGTCAGCCTGAACTACATAGCAAGCCCCTGTCTCTACATAAATAAATAAGAAAATAAACTAAATGTGGCTAAAAATCAAATTAACATCATGAAGGAGAGGCAGTGAATATAAAGGAGAAAGATAAAGAGAAGAAAGCAATTAGAAAGGATATGGTAGAAGCTGGGCATGGTGGCACACGCTTGCAATCTAAACTGGTCAGTTTCCAAATGAGAACATTTCTGTTTGACTCCCTCACACGACGCATACTTTCTAGGACACGATTTCCCCTTGAGTTTATAAACACGAAAAGCAGGCAGTTTTAGGATCACTGATGCACTTCCTTACTTCTGTCAGCTCTAAGGATTTATACCAGATACGCTGCTCCCCACACACTAGACTCTAATTCTCCACCACTAAGGGTGTCCCTCGGGTGTAAATGTCCCCCCAGGAGATGGGCGGCCAAGCTGCGTTCCTCTTTTGTAACAGCAGGAAAAGAAGTACAAAACTCTTTCAATTCAGAATTCCAAACCTAAGTGTCCCATGAAGAAGCTAAGAAATTACTATTCCCAAGTTTCCTTCTCTATATCACATTATCCCTCTTTAGTCTCCCCCCAAACTGCTAAAATGACACAAGATTTTAAGGTAAGATCTCAGTTTCAGAACTTAAAAATATTTTATATTAAGTAATAAAGAAATCTTTAAGCAAACTTACTTTAATATACACACATATACATATATGTCATATGTATATATTTTATATGTATAGTACTATATATATTTTTAAACATGGGATATTTTAGGCATACTAAGAAGTATAAAAAGCAATATAAGTAACACTTTGACATAGCCATCATTCAGCTTAACAAAATGTTTTACACATAGGAGTGATTGAAAAATACAGGGCTGGTCACATAGCTCAGAGGATTAAAGAGCCTGCTTAGGCAGATGCAGGGGGTTCAATCCCCAGCATGCCGGGCTGGCCCCACCCCTGGGGCACACTGAGATGGCAACTGAGACTGTGTGCCTATAATCCCAGCTACTGTGAGGCTGAACAACAGGAGGCTCACTATGAGTCTGATCTGTGTAGTGAGACCCTGTAGACCCTGTATTAAATACATACAAATACATAAAATACATAAAAAAGAAAAATATGGTAGATATTCAGATTTCTTAAGAATTTATTACAGCAAAAGCACAATGTCGTTCACCTCCCTCAAAATTCTTTTTTCCCTTTGGGCACACTTGGCCTGTCATTCTCCCCACTTTCTGAGGCCCTTCTGGAGCTCCTCTTTCATGTAGGTCTCTACATGTGCGATCAAGACGACAGTGAACGCTGCCGCTGAGTGCCCCTAACAGAAAGGCAGACTCCCAAGAACGCTCCAGCACGTCCTCCTCTGCCTTATTTGCTGCGTCTAGTACCATACAAACCAAGGCTCTACCCTGAAGTCAAAATCACCACGGAAAGCAACCATTTTGAATTGATGCAGGGCATTGAGGAAACCGTGACACAAAAGACGACTTCCAGAACTGCTTCAGAACATGGCAAGAATGTTAGCTTAGATGTATTCAAAGCGAGGGACAGCATTTTGAGGGGGACTAGTGGCCATGTGTCTTTCACTGTAATGCATTTTCAAATTTAGACACACACCATAGCTTTAAATCACGCTTCCTATTTAAAACTGCACATCAACCACTCTAAGACCTCTTTCTACTCCTGGCTCCTGTCTCCCCCGTGCTCACTGCGCTGAATTGGGATCTTACGAGGGCCATCCACACATCTGTAGCTATTCTGTATCTCCATGACGGTTTTTCAACCTTGTGTAAAACAAACTGTCTACCCATCTGTTATGATTTAGATCTAAAATATCTCCCAACAGCTTCACATTTGAGGGTAAGCCACCACAGACACGACTTGGGTGTATTCTTGTCCCCAGCTCCTCCCTTCTCTCTCTGCTTCTTGGTCACCATGTGGTGACCAGGTTGTCCCCACCGGGTAGATGTATCATGCCATTTCTGCCTCGAAGCCAGCTGGCCATGGAACAAATCCAGTGAACCACGGGCCAAGAGGACCCTTTCTTCTCTTCTAGGGTGGAAATTAGGTATTTTGTCCCAATCCTGGAAAAGTGACTCTTACCATATGCTTCTGCCATTTATTTATTTTGCTTAAAGATTTTAAAAGATTTTTTTAGTGTTAAATTTTTAACATTAAAAGTAAAGAAACTTCTAGAGCCTCCAGAGTAGACTCATTGTTATCTTTCCTTGTTAATGTCAAATTTTTTACATGAGTTATAAGCTTTCATACTCCAATAAGCAAAGGAATTAGGATTGCCACTTCTTTAACATCCTTATCAACAAATGATACTTCCAATTTTATAAGCTTTGGTTAATCTATATAATATAAAATGGTATGACTTTGTCTTACCTGAAAAGTATCTTTTTAGGTTTCAAAAATGTGTGTTTGATAAAAATATTGGGCAGAGTATCACACAAGTCTGATAATAGCTATTTAGAAAGCAAAGGCAAAAGAGGATCCCAAGTTCAAGGCTAACCTGGGTAACTTAGTGAAACTTGTCTCAAAACATTTTTTTAGGGGCCGGGGAGATGGCTCAGTGGAATAAATGCTTCCCTGGCAAGCGCAAAGGCCCCAGTTCAATTTGGTTTAAAAAAAAAAAAAAAGTGCTGGTTTAGCAAAAACTCATTTATACCTTTAAAAACCTTTTTTAAAGAAAGAGCTGGGGATGTAGTCCAGCAGCAAGCACTTGCCTAGCTTGAGCAAGCACAGTCCCCAGTATAGCAAAACACAATTTTTAGTGGACATTTGTGATTCCTCTTTTGTAAATAACCTTACTAATGTCCTAGGCACACATGATGTACTTCTTTTCTGAAGACACTTGAGTCTTTTTTTTTTCTTTTTTATTTTTATTTTTATTTATTTGAGAGAGAGAGAGAGAGAGAGAGAGAGAGAGAGAGAGAGAGAGAGGGGTGTGTGTGTGTGTGGCCAGCTCAGCCCACCAGGGGGCGGGGCTGGCTGGCATGTGGTGCTGGGGGATTGAACCACGGTCCCTGATGCCTTGCCAAGCTTGTTCTAAGTAGGTGCCTTAGACCACTGAGCCATCTCTCCAGCCCCTTTTTTTTTCTTGAGGAATAAATTTATTGGTCTTTATCCGAAAAATATTCATAGCAATTTGGTAACTCTTGCCAGCCTGTGCTGAACTCTGAGGAAGCCTCCCTTCTTTTGAGCCACCCAATCTTTTTTCTGGGCAAGGGATATTCTGGGATGGTTCCACCTCTTCTTTTTAACTCCTCTCTTCGCTTCCTCTCATAGACTGGATTCTCTAGCATGGTGGCATAAGCTTTCCTGCGCATCTCCTCCACGACGCCTGGAGTGACACTGTTCTTTATGTACTGAGAGAACTGCTGCTCGTAAGCACTTTCATCTCCTTTCATTAGGTAGCACATACAATCGGAGACATCTTTAAAACATCAAGCTTTCTTTTCCACAAATTCAGTGTATTTTCCCATTCTTTCAGTTTTTAATGTCTTTCTATAAATTTTTCCACAGAATTGTATTTTGTCATTTATACTGCATGGTTTACATAGGTTATCTTTTTACCCAACTTACCCTAATTTACTCTGCCACATTAAATAAATTTTATCAAATTAAGTGCTAAAGTTATACAATCTTAGATTTCTTTCAAAACCAGCGAATAGTATTTTAACACCCTCATTTGCACACAGTTTTGTACGGCATAGATTTATCAAGCAAGCAGCACACTTATGTCCTTTGGACTTACCAAGAAGCTCCATGGTCTCTACTTTCAGTGTCAGTGAAATTAGAATCCAAAAACATGTCTTTGTAGATTCGACCAACAAGACAATACATATCTGAAGCAACTTGCCCGTCGCCTTGCACCATGGGAATCATAACATCAAGGGCTTTTGCTCTGTCTCCAGGGAGATTCCTCCTAAGGTAGAGAACACTGTAGTTTCAAAAGAGCTCAGAAAAGCAATAGAGGCCAGTAATTTTTCTCAAACTCTACTTAATGTATTGATTCTCATGAGTGCAGTTTAGCAGGACAAAAACAACAACAGATTCTGAGCATCTGCTAATGATCTCTATTCTAAGCACTTCATTGTATCCTACTGCATGTCTGCTGGGTCTTACCAGGGCTCTCTTCTGAGCTGTTTTGTTGACCATGGTGATAGGTAGATCTGTACTTTCCCATTCAGTCTTTCCATTTCCCTGCAGCTTATATGCAGGTTCAAGTTGATGAGATGAGATTAGGAGCCAATTATTCCAAGTAGGAACAAAGCTCTGATCTTCAGGTTCAATGAGTTTTGCTCTAAAGCATTCAGCAAGCTAGTTCACAGATAATACCAACAGCCAAACCTCTCAAGGGCTGCTTAATTTCCACATGGGACCAATTCATTATCTAAATAAATGGCTTCATGTAGCTCATTTTGAAGTAATGTATGTATACAGCTCATAAAACCAGATGAAAATTCTCTGAGAATTTTCTTTTATTGGATTATGAAAAATTATGCTATGTGAAAAAGTTAGTCCCAAAAGACCACAAACTGTAAAGTTCCATTTATATAAAGCATCTAGATTAGAAAAATCTATGCAGACAAAAAGTAGATAAGTGATTGCCAGGGACCAGGGGATTTGGGGAGAAGTAGGAACACGACCACTAGCTGGTAGGCAGTTTCTTTTAGAACTGAGCTTTTTAAAAGTTGTTGAGTTTGATGGTCATATAACTTTATTAATATGTTAAAAAGCCATTGAGTTGTACACTTTTGGTAAACTATGTGGCATAGGAACTAAAGTTCAAAAAAGTCACTATTTAAGAAGTTATCCTCTCTATTCTGAGGCACTACTTCAGATTTTCTGCCCACAAAAATCCTGTTCTACCCTTTGTGTTAAACATCTTGAGTTTAGAGTACTGTTTCATACAAATATGCTTTTCATTATATGCTACTTAGGGAAAGTAAGAGGAAACAAAGTAAAATTGTAAGCAGCTCTTATGAATTTTTACTTTTGATTGCATGATGTAATATTCCATTCTACTTTTAAAAAATAATTTACTTGAAAGCCAGAAATAGGTAGTTGCCTTGTTTGTCTTTGGTCTTTTTGATTTTATTATTATTATTATTTTTGGTTGAATTGTTTTTTAGGGGAGGTTTTTTTTTTGTTTTTGTTTTTGGTGCCAAGGACTGAACCCAGGGCTTCCAGCTTGCTCGGCAAGCATCCTACCACTGAGCCAAATCCCCAGCCCTAAGAAATAGCAGGTAATCTCCTAAGGTCTCATCTAAGTCTCTTAAATCTAGATGTTCAATCAATGGGAAGATAAAATGGGCTTTCATTATACATTTGAAAGGTAGGAAAAAAAAAAAAAGAAAGGTAGAGATTGCTACATTTTTGGTAGAAATTAAGGAAAGACCATCTTGGGGTGAGTGGCTGGCTGAGGTGAAAGAGCCTCATGAGCAGGAGCACATTCCCTCTCCAGGAGGACCTGGGCTCAAGCCCCAGCCCAAGGGCAGCACGCAGGGAGCCTTCCGCGGATTACTCCACCTTTCCAAGCTGCAGGAGCCTAATCCATAAAACAACCACGGCTTCCATGGCACACGGCAAGTGCTCCGTGAATGCATCTCCTTCTTTTTTTCATCAGTCTAGTTGTGGCAATGAGACATACAGTCACCTCTCTTACCACAGAAGAAAACAGTAAGACAACTAACTCAGCTTGGCACAGTTTGGCCCCCCATGGTGATCCCAGGCAGGAAGTAGCATCGAGCTGTCTGTCATGCAGTCTAGAGGCAAAGTAGGACTGAAAGCGACAGTGTCGGTCTCAATCCCAGAAAATTCATGGGCATATAATCTAAGCAGACTATCACCAACAGAGTGGCGATTTTCTTTAGGGGAGTGTGGGACAAAAGATTCTCTGATTAGGAATACAGTTATCCTTACCCTGCTTTAGTTAATATTTGTGTAAATGACCATTTGATGTTGAGTACAAAGTCAGCCCTGCATACCCATGGGCTCTGCGTCCTTGGGCTCAACCAAGCACAGGTTCAAAAGCTTGAATCTGTACTGAAAAGTCACAGGAGTGATGTGTGTGTGTGTGTGTGTGTGTGTGTGTGTGATTATTTCCTAAATGTAACACAACAACTGTCATATCCATACAATTTTTTTTTCTGTATTTTTTGGGAAGGGTCTACAGGGTGTTCAGGGTCTCACTACTAGATCGGACTTGTAGTGATCCACCTGTTTGCAGCCACCCAAGAGCTGGGATTACAGGCACGCACCACCATGCCCAGTCTCTCAGTGCGCCCTGGGGGCAGGGCCAGCATGGCAGACCAGGGGATCAAACCCCAGCTCTTGTGCCTGCTTGCAGGCGCTTTATCCATTGAGCTATTTGGCCGGCCCTCACACACCCATATAATTTTAAAAGTTTGAGAAACATTAGTAGACACAAACTTTGTCACAAAGAAAAAGAGCAGCTGAATTGAAACACATAAATATGTGAGACTGCTACTGATAAGCAGAAAGAAATTAGAAGGCAAGTTTCCCATATTTCAGGAGGTTGAGGAAGATCTGTGAGTATTATGCTCCAACAGGAAGTTGTTGCCATGTCACGAAAACCCAGTAAAAATATGCAGGTTGAACAAAAAGTACGCAGTAGTGCACCACGGAAGGGAGTTTTTCTCCTCACCTGTTCAGGGCAAACGCATAATGGAACTTCACATGGTGATGGGAGGCCAAGTCAAAGGTCGGCAGTTTTTCTAGTGTCTCCACCAGATTCACAATGGAATCATAGTCCTTTCAAAGAGGAGAAAAATGACAGAGAATGAAAGCTGTAGGAGAAAGTTCTGACCACAAAATGTCTGCGTCAACCAGATCCGAATCTGAGAAGGGAATTCATTGAGAAGGTAGAGCCCGCGGGCTATGTCAAAGAACACAGAAGAAAATGTTGTTTTTCTCCCTCAGAAGTTTGGATTGTATGAACAAAACTGTCAGAAATACAGTTACCATGTTTGACAAAAATCAACAGAACAAGAAACGGCCAACAGGATGAGGCTCTGCTGTCTATACGTGGGTGGGCCACTTCTCGACAGAGCCAGACTCTGGCCTGCGGTGTTCTGTTACTTTCAGGGAAACAAAACATTTCAAGGGAAAAGAGCAACTGACTGCACTTGTATTACAAGTAGTGAAGGGTTTCACATAAGTAAGCCCCTCCGGCCGCGGGCTTCTCCAGGTCCATGGCTCTCCGGGTACATGACCTTCTCTTTTCTTGGTAAAGCTTTCCACAGACCTGATGGGCTGGGAGTGGGAATAAGGAGCTGGAAGTCATTCACATTTTACTCCTAAAAGAATTATAGATGACTCCAGATTATCTTTCTTTCTTGCCCAGTAGTACTCCCCAGTGAGTAAACAACACATTTTCTTTATCCATTCATCTGTTGATGGACACACAGGCCCTTCCAAGATTTAGCTATTACGACTCATGTGGTTGTAAACATGGATGCACAAGTGTCACTATTAAGTCTTTAACTCGCAGAGATACGCAGACAGATGGACAGACTTTGAGGCCATAATGGTAAGTGAGATAAATTAAATACATTAGCTTGACTAGTATGTGATTTCTCTTGTATGAGGAACCCAAAGTAGAAATAAAGAGCAAAATAAAAGATAAATAATAGGAAGTAAGGAGATAGATCTTTCTCAAAGTGGAAGGGGGTTAAGAGATGGAGGGAGAGGAGAGGGAGAGGAAGGAAAGGGGTACATGCATACCAACTCCCCAAAAGGAATAAAAACTTCTACACTGCAAACATGTACAAATCAAGAAAATGATTTGGAAAAAGTTTTTTTAAAAAAGTCCTAATAGGAAATCTCCAACTCAGAGAACATATTTTAATTCTATTTACTATACCTTAAAAATTCTGAGACATGTCACTAAAAATAACATAGCATTTTAGTATGCTTCAGATTATATTATTTTAGAGTTATTTTTATAATTCATCACGTACAGACTTCTTGCTTCTGGCTAGTGAGATCCAGCGCTATCCGTTTCAAACAACACAATTTCAAGAAGTAAAAGATATGTCCAAAAAGCTGTAGGAATTTTCTGCTATTTGTCAAAACAAAGCTTTCCTTTATTCATAGGTGTGACTGAGGTTAACAGAATAGAACAGATCATCCCTGGGCTGGCTATGTGAGCAGATTTTTCTTTTTGTTTCTTTGGAAGAAAGGTCACATCTTCCTAAGCATGTCACAACCACTGACGGCTAACATACATGATGTCTTTTTCATTGATCATAAAATCACAGGATGTGAAAGACGAGTCAGTGAGGAGTTATGTGCAGCAATGTGAATATCTTAGCAAGCTGAAATTTTATGTCAGTACTCCTTTACTCTTCCACCAGGCTCCATGACAAAGACGTTCCCTTAAGCATCTTCTCACCTGTATATCTCTGTAGGAAAGCAACAGATTGATGACAATATCCGCCGTGAGGACCTCAATATTATCTACTCGCTGCCGAATTCTGGTCAATTCAGCTGCCAATTCTTTACCAGTGTATAAATTCCGAGCTTTCCTGATATCACTGAGTATAGATTCCCGGAAGTACTGGCTAGGGAAAAAACATACATTTCAAAGCATTAATGATGTAAAAGATTCACAAAAGATTTCAATGATAACAGTAATTTTACAAGGAAATGATTGACATCTGCACATGAGTATTTTTCAATTCATTAACATGGACAGAATGAATATGTCATATATTTGATATTATTAAGAAATTTGGAGGGCCGGGGAGATGGCTCAGTAGAATAAGCGCTTCCCTGGCAAGTGCAAGGGCCTCAGTTCAATCCCTAGTTCTGCCACACACACACACACACACACACACACACACACACACACACAAAAAAAAGAAAGAAAGAAAAAGAAATTTGGGAGTCCATGTATTTAATACTCTGTCTTGTTTCAGAAAGAGCTAAAGACAAAATTATTCCATGTTAATGAATTCTCATGCACTTAAAATACCAGAAACTTTTTATTTTATTTTAGTAGACGCTGTCCTAAACAAATAAGATATGACTATAATCTGAACATATATGCCCTTTACTTCTGACTCAGTATCAACATTCCCTAATACAAATAATCATTCTCAATTAAAATAGGTTCTCGGCAACTTTTGCAGAGTTTGGACTTCACCCTGAAAGTTCCTAGCTAATTATTCTGATGTTTCTACACTTGATTTTCATATGTAGTTTTAGCTGTTTGACTACTATAAAGCAGTTAATTTTCTTTTGAAGGGGCTAAATGACAAATTGTTCTATAAATAAAATGAATAAAATGCAACATGTGAACTATGTGGCATCATTTTTACCCAGAATATATTGTATATTTTTTCCTGATTCTTGGCTGTATGTGGCTAAGGAATAGCTTTTTCTAATTTTATTTTTATTTATTTATTTTTAATGTATTTGGTTGTTACAAGGTCTCACCAGGCAGCTCGGACTGGTGGTGATTCTCCTCTTTTCAGCCACCGCAGCACTGGGATTACAGGCACAGGCCTGGACTGTGGCCCACTCAGCCTGCCCTGGGGGCGGGGCTGGCTCATCATGTGGTGTGGTACAGAGAATCGAACCGCAGTCCCTGCACATGCCTAAGCTTGCCTAAGCAGGTGCTTAGCCCGCTGAGCTATCTCAGCGGCCCTGGTAATGCCTGATAAGACACACAAATGACTGAGGTAGAACAACCTTTCCTGATGGTCACCCAGGGCAGTATGAAACATCACCTGGAACTTGCTTGCGCCACCTTCAGGAGCTGGATGAACCGGTCCACGAGGGGTAAGCAGATGGGCCCCAGAAGCAGCTCGAAGTTGGGTTGCATGAGCTCAGTCAAGCCCTTCATGAAGCTGTTGTCACAGCAGTAGACCTTGTTGTGGGGAGTCACCATGTATGGGATGAAGGTATAGTTCCCTGTGCACATCTGTGGGAACAGAGGGACCAAGCCATGAGGACCTTGGAGTGGGGGGCACCACACTGCCAGCAGGCCCAGCTCCTTCGCCAGTGCCCCATTTTACATAACGGTTCTGAATGTGAAGGGTTAACAGAAAAGCCTCATTTCTTATTTGTGACTCATGAAGAGGAAATTTCTTGACTTCTTTAATTATTTACTTCAATATCATAAACACAGAGGATATAAAAAACCAGACTTTCTACCAATCCTTGTATATTTACTTGCTATCTTTCATGGGGTAGGCACTAGAACACGTGTTGTGGGAAGATACTATAGGCAAAAGCACAACTGTCAGCCTCCGGAGAACTTAAAATGTAGCTGGTGACACAGCATAAATACAGTACTGAGAGCTATGGTTCAAAGGGCTTCCCTGTCACAGGCAGTGCAGGGCACGAGGCCAGGACATAGCAGCTCCCTTAGGCATGGCTGCCTGTCTCCCAGGCACCACAACTAGAGACCAGAAGTCCTCCTTCATGTCTCATTTCTTCCCCTCCTATATGTTCAACCTCCACAATGGATGTCAGGCTTGTCCACCTGCCATGCTCCTCTCTGCTGGCACTGAGGGCCAGAGCCCCGCATGCCTAGCCTGACCTTCTATGATTGGCTCTAACTGGTCTCCCTGCGTCAACTCTTGGCTTCCCCTGACTGCTGTCCATCTCTCCTCTCCAAGGCGTAGTATCAGGCTCCTTGCAGTAGCTGCGGGAAGCCCACCAGGCATCCTTAGGATAAGATGAGATGCGCAGCTGTAGTCTGCAGGGTCTGGCCCTGTAGATCCTGCCTCTAGAGGCTCTCAGCCCATAATCACTTTCCCCTCACCCATTACACCCTGGGTCACTGATCTTCTACCAGTGATAATGCCAGTGAGGTCACCGTCATACCAACAAAAGCACTGCTGGGAAGACTAAGGGAGTCAAACTGGATACCCCAAGGAAGCAAACCTGAGTGAAACTTAGGGCTCAGGGGAGGAAGGCTCCAGTGAAGACAAAGCAAAGGATTTTAAATGAAATATTCTAGACATGAGGCAACCATAAAAGGATCTTAAACTTGGAAAGAAAACACAAGAAAGATGTGCCTTCTGGCAGTCAGGGCAGATAACATGATGAACTGAAAGAGAAATAAGATTTAAAGAAATTAGGCAGAAAATGATGTAGTAAGATCGTAACAGTAACAGGAATGTAGAAGAAGACACTTGCTCAACAATCAAAAGAAAGAACCAGCTGAACCTGGAGAAGGAGCTGAAGGTCACTTAAAGCAGGTCTACCTAAAAAGGGTTGTAACAGTAACAGAAAGAATTCACCAAATAGAGCTAGACTTGTTCATAAACATACTGCGATCTGAGGAACCTACTGTCCATCAGGTAATCAGCTCAAAAAGAACCGACTTCCAAGTAAGCTATGAGAAGGCCTTCGAAAGGCTGAGGTATGATTTGGGAGAGGATAGGGAAAAATGTTTATTTCTAGAGAACATGGTATTTAAGGGGATTAAGAGGTTGGGATTTAACGTGAAAATGTTTTAAAGAGAGTTGGAATAGAATGCCAATATAAGAGAGTTTCAGGCTAAAACACAGATCTGAGGATTATTTAATATGGTCGAATCAAAGGAAATGAGAGAAGACCTTAAGGGAAAAACCCAGAAAACCAAGCACAGGGCTCAGAACCAGAATGGGGAATGTGGCAAACCCCATCATCACTGCCACGGGATCACAGGGAGTCTAGAGTATCCACTACCAGCCTTATTGGCACATGAAGAACAAGACAGTGTTTCTCCTGCCCTCGGCCCTTAAACCGGCAAGAACAAGCACTTCTCTGTGCCAAGGTATGATCACATGTTTACTACAACTCACTGAAAAAGATGCTATTGTCTCCACTGGACACATGAGTAGACAGACTGGTCTACCCATGTCTGGGACTCCAGCCTAGGGACATCTGCATGGCGTGTCATCATTTAAGGGTCATGCACCACTCTGCAAGGCCCTAGAAGGTTCCTATCTCCTTTTACAGGAAACCTGCATGATTCAAGGGACTGCTCCTAACAAACAGACAAGAAAAAAGTACAGTGCCCTTCTAGGCTTAATGATTTATGAACACATTTTGCTTTGGGTAGTTGTATATCAGTAATGAAGCAGAAATAACCTTGACTTCCAGTTAAAGCATGAAAAAAAGTTCAGCAGGCTGAAATAAAACTTTGAAATCAAATACACTAGTTGTTCCTGTCTTAAGTTCTCCTTCATGCAACAATGACTGGTAGACTAATCCAAGAAGAGAAAAATAATTTTCCTGCTTCTAAAATGTTCCCAAGATCCCGTGGTATATCCATCCAATTTAATCTTTTTGCCAAGCCACTGCCCAAGAAGAAAAAGCAAAGTTATCAATCAGGTTTTTGTTGTTGTTGTTGTTGTTGTTTAGGGAAGGGTCTACAGGGCGCTCAGAGTCTCACTACTATATCGGACTTGCAGTGATCCACCTATTTATAGCCTCCCAAGAGCTGGGATTACAGGTGCGCACCACAACGCCCAGTCTCAATTGCCATCTCAGCGTACCCTGGGAATGCCCACATGGCAGGCCCGGGGAACAAACCCCTGGCCCCTGCACCTGCTTGCAGGTGCTTTAATCCACTAAGCTATTTGCCCAGCCTGGATCTGTGTTAAGTGTTCTGGAATGATTATCAGATGCCTGCCAGTGGAGGAGTATAAAGACAGGAAAATGAGAATTATGAAAACAGCAAGAGAAGCAGCTCTTGAATAAACCCCAACATAGAAAATCCTCCTTCAAATCTCAAATCCTTCAGGACCCTTGTTGAAAATACAGGAACTAGAATCCTTGTTGAAGTTCCTGGCCTCGGAGTATAATTAGAGTTCCTTCTTGATGCTCCTGAAGCACCAGTTCTTTTTTCTCAAGTTCCACTGTCAAGGTCAAAAGGCCAGGGTAGGGGTGGCAGACTGCAGGCGCACAGCTGGCCTGAGCTGAGACAGCTCAGGCAGTACACTGAGGGAGGAAGTGCAAGGGCCAGCCCTGTGATGGTTTGTTTGATTTTTTTTTTTTTTTTTGCGGAACCAAGGATTGAACTCAGGCCCTTAACACTTGCCAGGTAAGCACTTATTCTACTGAGCTATCTCCCCAGCCCCTGTTATGTGGTTTTTAGACGTGGAAGCACTTATTTCCTAAGATTGCTCATGTATACCTTAGAAAGTTGATAACTGTAATTTTGATTTGCACATTGCCACTAATTGGACAACTTGAAATAGAGGATAATTCAAAGCAAAAAAATAATCACTGTATGATTAAAAATAGACACTTCAGGTTGGGGAAATAGCTCAGTGGAATAAGTGCTTGTCTGGCAAGCGCAAGGTCCTGAGTTCAATCCCTGGTACCAACCAAAAATAAAAATAAAAAATGACATCTCCCAGCACATGGGAGGATGAGGCAGGAAAATTTGCCACAAACTTGAGGTCAGCCTGGGTTAGTAAGTTCAAGGCCAGCCTAAAATACATAGTGAGAGACATATTCTTAAAAACAAACAAACAAAACCCACAAACCAGACCTCTTGAGTGCCTCAATTGTCTTTTATTAATGTATTATTAATTCTAAAATAGTCTAATCTACTTTTCATAAAACAGAGGACACATTTCCTTAAATTTCAAAATTTCGAGGCATGGTCATAAAGCAACACTATCAATTTTTCTGGTTTATGTTTTGTTTCATGGCTGTAGAATCCCTCAGCTCAAAATCTAGTCTTACTCTAGCTGATTATCTTCCTGTTTAAAACATAATGGTGACCCAGCTTGTCAATTTTTAAGAACTACAGCATGTATAGAAAACGAGTTGGGCTTTTAGAAAGAAAAGCTCTCAGTGCTCAAACCTACTGAAAGAGAAATGTAACACATTCCACTGCTGAAGGACGCTCAGTGCCCGCATGCAGCTGCTTTCCCAAGCCAGTAGGCGACCTGCTCTCGGGGGCTGAGCCAACTGCTTCTGCTCCCGTCCAGCACTGGCTCTTTCCTGCCTCTGAGTTTCAGGGAACGCTACCTCCGTGAGGGACGGGGGCACAGCGCCCACCCACTCTGCAGCACTTCACTGCAGGTTAATTGCCTGATTTCTGTTTGCTTATGACTTTCTGTGACCTTCTCCCCCAGTGAGCCGCTGGTCCTTCTCAGGTGTTGTCGGGGGTCATTCTGAATGTGGTGGTTTCCGATCTCAAGCTCTACACTGGGTCCCCTCTGGCATGGCAGCCGGCCCTGCCACAAAGTTCATGGTCAATCAGTACTCGGCAAGCAAAATTTGTTTCAGTGAATGGAAGCATGGAGCGGTAAGTGTAAGTGCTCGTTTCCTGTTGAGAGGAGAAGGGCAAGAGCTGAGCAGGGCAATGCTGGCTGTGACGGACTGAGGCTCTGCGCCGGTGGCGCCTTAAGCACAGGTGTTAACATTTCCCATCTCAGCGCTCGCTTCGGCCTCACATTTACTAAGATTTCTGATCTAAGAAAAAAAACCATCAATTGTACCATGAATCTTGTCACCTTAATTAATATCACTTATAGACTTTATATCATATACTACTTTCCCGCACAATTGCAGAGGTTGCTAAATTGCAAAGTTTTTAAATACTCCCATATTTTCCAAGATGAAATAGAAAACCACTGGCTTAACAAGGTCGTTTCCACTGTAATATAATTTTTCTTCATGCATTACTTTTTAAGTTTAAAGTTTACATTTTTTTACTTATTCACGTTTGTTTAATCCTGTGTGGGAGATTAGAATTATGTAGTATAGTCTCAAATGCAGACTAAAATACTTAGGAACTTAATCCTTTTAAGTAGAAGATACGTCATAGACACATATACGGATACATTTAATTCTATATACATGTATATATAGATTACACATTAAAGAAAAACTGAAATTACACACATATGCATATATATATGCTATCTTGTTGCCATTCATAATTCCACAACATTGACCATATTATGGAAATGTTTTTGCCAAAATATAACTACACATAGTAAAAGTCAAGTATTAGTGTAATCTATTCCTATAGTGTAGCATTTAGGTAAAACAATCATTTATATTGATATACAAGAAAGTTGAAAAAGGAATAACAGCTACACAAATTAATAATTTGTGAAAAGTTTTTAAAACACCAGAGACTAGAAGACAGATAAGATTTAATAACTTCTGGAAGATTAAACAAAATACTCACAGTATTCTTCTGGCAAATGATTTCCTGAAAAATAAGAAAAAAGGCATAGCAGAAGTTAATAAAAAATTAATTAATTCAATGACTTTTATTGAATCATTCTACGTGGGATATTTTTGTATTAACAAAGTTTACAATCTGGAGGAGGAGATAAAACAGAAATCTTGGGAAAACTACACAATCATATGAAATCCCAAAACTGAGTAACCTGCAAATCATTTCTGAAGAGTATGTACGTAGAGAATTACCTGATTAGCCATAATCTCTTTCGGATAAAAAATTAAAACAAGCTTGCTCCCCTAAGCATGATCTTACCCATGTCCTGGGAGGGAACAAGGGAATAAGGAACACTGGGCAGTGGCAAACCCACGCGTACAGTGAGAACATCTGACAAGCAAGGCCACAAATATAATTTAGATAGTTTTTTCTTAATGTGTTTAGCGCAGGGTCTACAGGGTCTCACTACACAGATCAGACTCATACTGATCCTCCTGTTTTAAGCCTCTCAAGTGCTGGGATTACAGGTACATGCCGCCACACCCAGCCAGTCTCAGTCACCAGCCAGTCTCAGTCACTGTCTCAGCGTGTCCCGGGGGCGGGGCTAGCCTGGCACTCCGGGGAAGCAAACCCCAGTCTCCGTGCCCCCCTAAACAGGTGCTTTAGTCTGCTGAGCTATCTTGACGGCCCTTAGATATTTTTCAACAAGTAAAAAGGATAAATACACCACGTGGGCAGTGTCCCTACCTTCTAGGTTGGAAGGGTTGAGTTTGGTCACAGATCTAACATAGCTTTGCAGTATGTGGTGCACAGAAAGCTCTCAATTAAAGCTCACTGTTATTATTCCAAGATGTTAAAAATGAGCAGATCCTGGGGAGATGATCTAGAAATGCCTGGGGCAGAAAGCCTTCACTGAGGTTGAGGAATTAAAATTATTTAGAAAAGAGAAAATGGGACACTGTACTGAAAAAAGTATATATGTTGTCATGGAAACAGGAAGCATAAGGCATTTGGAGGGCCACAAGGGTGGCAAAGAAGACAGGCTAGTAGAGCCGTGGGGCCCAGCTGACTGGGCAGCATCCTGCATCTCAGGATCAGAATGCTACAATGACACAGCAGGTGAAGGGACACCACTGACAGCTCTGGATCAGAGTGGACTGTAAGATTTTTGAAAATTCAAGAATAACAGATGAGAAAACAAAATTGACAGAGGAAAAAACTGCACTGTAGTGTTGAGAGCCTTAAAGATGCACGTAAGACATTAAAAGCTACTCTTCAACATCTCGCAATCTTGCTGATACAAAAGAGGAAATATTCACATTTAAGTAGAGCCATTATAAGTCTGGCAAACAAGTGACACAGAGGCATGGGACATAGACAGTGGAGCACGAGCTGAGCTAGGAAGACACACGCAACACCACAAGCCAAGCCAGGCGGTGGAGACCCAGACTACAGATCTAGAGATAGCACGCGGCCCCTGAAGGAACACGAAACATTAACGCCAGGACTAGGATGCAAGGAAGGCAGCTCACCCAGGGATGCGCAGAAGAGACACAGAGTACTTGTAAGAGATCTTGAGGAGAACCACTGGGCTAAAGCAAAAGTTCATTTTGACACATACAGATAATAAGATGAGACATGTATTCGTGGACCTTTTGAAGAAGGCTTTAAATGCAAAAACAAAGTACTGAGTTTAGTAAGTACTTAGCAACCGAAGTATTCTGTAAGATGGGTGATCCACGTAAAGACACAGCATCCACTGTAACAGCAGATGCTGGGACAATATAAATAAACATCCACCACCTGGAAACTGGTTGCATCCACCACCTGGAAACTCTGTGCATTCACAGAGCAGGGCAGCCAGAAAGAATGTTCTTTATGTAGTGTTGTGGAGCCATCTCATTGCTAATTGAGAAAAACAAAGTGCAGAGCCAGGAAGATGGCTCAATAGAATAAGCGCTTGCCTGGCAAGTGCAAGGGCCTGAGTTCAATCCCCAGTTCCACCAAAAAAATTAATAATAATAATAAAAAGTACATAACAGTTCTTATCCTAGGTTCTTATTTATGAATACAAAGGAGAAAAATAAAATTCTAATTTTTACATTCAGAAAGCACAGCTGGCAGGATATACCAGGAACTAGTAACAGAAGCTGTCGATGGAGCCTGCTGGGCGTCCAGGGGATACAGGTGAGAGGACAATGTTGCCCTTTTGTGGCTTGAAATTTCTGTGTCAGGTGAATTCAGGACCTGAGACAGACAAATAACTTTGAAGAGTAATCCTTGTTAAAGTTTTAGGAATACACATTAGGTGGTATTTAGTCTTTGAGGGGAAAATTCATTTAGGTGGTGGATGTAAAAGATCAAGGACATCGTAAGAAGAGTGTGCACAATGGCAGTGCTCAGAAATGGAAACAAAAGAGACAGGGTACAAAGTGGCTTTTCCCACAGTCTCAGGGAGTTAATACCTATAACACACATACACGACAGTTCACGCACAGAGAAACGCTGGATGATCCCAAGGCCAGGAACACAACGTACTGAACTTTCCATGGTAGACTGATGGAGGCTGTCTACGGAGGAGCAGAGCGTACAAATGCCCTCTTCGCACAGGCATAGCTTTCTCGTGATTTGCTCGGCAATGAGGAAGTGCTGTTCACTGCATCTTTTACCCCAGAGTATTGCTGTGCAGGGGACAGGAAGCCTGCTCTTCATGAAGCTGGCCTTGCTATACTGAGTGATACGTATCCTTCAGATAGAAGATACACAGCGCTTGTCATGTTGCCATCATCTTTGCTCATAAGAACCTTTTTTCGGGCGTGGGGCGAAGGAAAGGTTTATATAGCTTACAGTTACTGGAGGTTTCAGTCCATATTCAGCTGGCTCCAAGGCAGAGCGGCACATGGCAGAGGGCAAGGTTTCATGGCAGTGGCAAACAGCAAGAGCACAAAAAGAGGAGTAGCAGCAGCTCAAGCAGTTAGCTTCTCTTTCTCCTAAGGACCTTTGATGGCGCGCTTCATCCCCCAGTCCACACATTTGTGTTCAAGGGATCCTCTGTCCTCCCTCATGGTTGCTCTTTGGGACAAAGACCACGTGATTCATTCATACTTGTATCTGTACTGATTGCCTAGCATGTATTACAGCACATAGTAGGTATTCAGGAAAAACATACACTGATGAATGTAAAAACATACCTTAGCATTTTGCATGATAAGTTAGGATAGCTGGGTAAGTGCTGGCTCTGCACCCAACAAGCCGCATGCTGTTTATTTCTAATATACTGCACTAAAAGTGCTAGACTGACGGACTGTTAGTCTCTTGCAGCTCTACTCACTGTTTGCATTGGGTTCGAGGGGCATCGTGGTCAGTGCCACCCTTGTGCCACCCTCAAGGTCTTTGTGCTCCCTTGAGGGAGCAGCACCCTCAAGCCCCCCAAGTTGTTCCTCTTAAGTGCACCAGGCACAGAGATGGAAGTGGCAGGAAGAGGTGTGGCAGTGAGCACTATATCAGCCAGAGATTCTGTGGAACACCAGCACAGCTGCGACTGGCTCACAGCCAACATGCCGTCTTCTGAGGAACTGCTTGCTGGAGTCCTGGCCCTCTTACTGTCTCCGCTGCTTTCATTTCAGATCAGGCATATATGATAACAAATTATGAAACTCCTATCGCAATCTACAGAATCCATGTTAACTCATGTTTTGTCCAAGTCAAGTGGATATAAATCATTCTCTGGAAGGAGAGAGACCTTGTTCACAGCTTATTATATAACTTTAAATGGGGTATCAACTTTAAAGAAGGAAAAGTACTCTCTGTGCACTTGAAATCGACCCAAACATATTGCAAACAAGCCTTCAAAAGGTTATCTACTGAGGCAGAATACAGTGTTTAATTTCTATTAAACCCACTACAGGGAGTTAGGATGAATTAAAGACAAAACTTGGCTGCTATAATTCACCTCAGATCACAGAAATTTCTCATCAAACATGCCTCTAAGTGAAAAAGACATCATCAACATAAACTCCAGTTTCTTGCCAATGGAGCATTTCCCAACATGTGACACCCCCACTATGATCCTGTGTTTGTCTGGCTAAGGCTTTTGATCAGTCCAACCCCAGCTCTCCCAGCAATATCCAAAATTGATTTTCCTATTTTCTAGTCCCTTTTGGTAATCAAATAAGCAAGCAAGCAAGCAAGCAAACTAAAAGGGACATCTCATTCCAAGAGACGACAGAGACAACTTCTGATAGCTATTTGGGATGATACAACTTTGAAAAAAATCTCAACTGTAAAGAAATGGAGTGTCTGTAACATTAGAAAGTTTTTGTGCCTAAAGCATAGGTGATGATGGCAGGAAAGGAGGTGGGGGCAGCTGGTGGGGGGTGGCTAAATCCATGCAGACTTGGAGAAGCAGGACGGCAACGAGGGCCTCAGTTTCCAGGACAGAGAAAACAGTGCCACTGGGAATTCTGGCCCTGCTCATAGTCTCTTCGGTCTTCCTTCCGCACCTTCCTTCTGTCCCAGTGGAACCTAGCCAGTTTTCTGTTAAACTTGGGAAAAAGAGGGATTTTCTGTACTCTCCAGCTCCATCGTCTTAATTTCAAGGTTTCAAAGGTAAACACACAGTTGTGAGTACCCTGGGCCTAACTGAGGAGAAACACCTCCTCATCTTCTGCACACTGCTGCAATAAAGCCCAGCAGACTCAGGAAGAACCATCCAGCACAGAGGGCACAGAATCATGGTGCAGAGCCCTTAAAGCCAAGAAACCAGGTACATTTGTGTTAATGTCTTATGCTTTCAGAAAAGCTCAACGTGAAACAGTCAAGCAAGCAAACAAACAAAGAAATAGTTGACCAGAAACTTAAAAACTCCTCTTTTTAGAGGACATATAAAATCTATGGAGAGACTTAAAGGGAATGTACCTAATGATGGGTAAAAAAATACAGTGTTCGTGCTTGTCCTATCACTTACCAGTTCCATGTCCCTTTAACAAGTTACTATGTCTCACTGAGCTTATTTCTTATTTATAAAGAAA